TCGCGCATCAACGCTTTGCTATTTGAACGATTCAAGTTACATGGATGAGCTATGTAGAGAATTACGATGACGTTTTCCGTCGACGAATCCAAAGAGCGATCGAGGAGAATCGCCGCCCGAAAGAAAGTTTCACGAGTGACGCGAATATCTGCGACTCTCTCGGGGAAACTTCAAAAGGATAGAATCGCGGCCGCTGCGGACATGGCCGTTTACTCGGCATTCGACGCTCCCTCTCCCTCTCCCTCCCCCTCCCCCACTCACCGCTCCTCACTCTCTCTCTCTCGTTTATTCGGGCTTTACCGTCCCCGCGACAATTTTCACGAAAAATGGAATATTAACGGCGGCACGAGTGAATAACGAGCAAAGCCGCGCGCAAAAGAGAAAAGGAGATGCAAAATTTGATTCGTGGAACTGGCGCGGATCCTGCGCGCGTGTATACGTGTCTCGATTCGCTAATCGATACGCCGTCGCGTCGCAAGGAAGTTCGCCGTACGAGTGAATTACCGTACGACCGTTATCGTCACATTCCCGTCTGTTATTCGGTTAATTAGACGGCAGTCTCTGACGCACCTAACTAGAAAGAGTAAAGTCAATTGTGAACGATGGATCGATTTCCAGGAAGCGTCGTGTTCGCACGCGAGCCTGCCTATACGTCGCGTGACGATGACGGAGAGGGGTGTCGGGAGATGGTCGAGCCTCGTACGGCACTGCCGACAATCAGACAGGGTTAAAGTAACACGAGCAGAAACGTTCGTCTACCGCCCAGCCCTCTCCCCCTCCCCCTCCCCCACCCTCCCCCACCCTCCCCCCGGGGAGGTGCGCACCCCCGTCATTTGGCCGAGGACTTCGATCAAAAATTCCAGGCTCGTAACAGCTTTTATGGATGATAAAAACCGAGCAGTCGGCAAATAAAGTCACGCGACTGTTTGATCACCGCGCGGCGGGCTGTTTCTGTTTCTGTTTCTGTGCAGCGGGGCGGGGCGCCGGCACGACGACCGGCTTCGTCCGGGACGAAGGAGAGCGAGCGAGAGCGAAAAATTTATTGCGCGCGCTCACGACGGGGGAGACTCCGCCAGGTGTAAATACGCGCGGCGTTCTCTGCAAATATGCGCGGCTGGGCCGAGGAAAATTGGAGAAGAGCGCGTTAGACGCTCGGACGCGCGTACGCCAAGGTACGATGCGAATCTCTCGCCGGCATACTCGTCGCGCCGTAATTTCTCTCGCGTGCGAATTTTCAGCGCGCTAGTCCGCTGAACTCGGATTATCGAGAACGACCTTTCGGAACGCGACATTTTTTAAATTATTAAGAAAACCATGCAGCTTGTATTCGCCCTTATCCGGCGGAAAACTTTTCTGTTTTTATCGCTCTCGCTCTCCCTCTCACTTTCTCTCTTTCGCCGCTTCGACGTATTTCCATGCGTGTTCCCGTCAAGTTCCCTTTATCCGCAGCGTACAGTATGTGGAGAAAAAAAGCCACACAATTCCATCCACCGGCCGCGGCGCGGCGTACCGAAGTGTAGGCGGATTTATGCGGGGCGATCGGCAACGAGTGCTCCACGACAGGGCAAAACAAAGTAGCAGTAAATTACGAGACACGCGATGATACGCGTGCACGTAATGGAGACTTACGGCGAACCGACTGCACCAGCACGCGGGTGCAGCGGGTCTCGTCTCCGCGCGGCTCGCACGCGTCTCGACGCGGCCGCGAGCCGTTAGCAGCGAGTTAGCAGCAGATAGCATCGTTTCTGACGACACGACAAACCGAGCAAATCATTGTTAAGGCCAGCCTCATGAAGCATAAGGCCCCCCCCTCCCCTCCCCCGAGATGGATCTTTCAGGGACGCCTTAGATTTTACGAAATAAGGCTTTGAAGTAAGGAAAACTGATGCGGGCCTTAGAAGGATCTTTTAAAGATGCTTTGGATATACGAAATCAAGTTTTGTTATAGAAAATTAATAAGACTTGAAGCATGTAATAAAATTGTCATAGTTTAGTATATCGTTTTAGTAGGTACGCTCTCTATTTGGTTCTTTTAAAGATTTTTTTAATTATACCGCAATTAGAAACAAATTATTAATATTAGTTTTATTAATCGCCATATCCCAGTCTCTTCCAAGGATTTTTCTAGTATTGCCTTCGTTTTGAAATGCAGCAAACTTTAATAAAAAGTAGTAGCAGGATTTTTATGTGTAAAGAATGCTATATTTTATTGTAAAGTATGCTATATTTTTCAAATAAAAAATTCTCGTATACCAACAAGGTTATAAAGAAATGACAGTCCACATTTCTGAAAAGAACGAATATTTTTACTCAAGCAATAATAAAAATATTTCCTTATAATAATAAATAATTGCCTTATAAGACTCTGTTGATATTGCGCCTTACAAGGACTCGTTACACCATTTGTTGCACATCTTAGGGCAGGGCTCTTGTCTTTCTATCCCTACTAGGGTCCGATTAATGTTAGGGAAAAATAATCAGGCCCTTACCAGGGCCTTAGTAATTTCTCTACTCGGGAAACGTCAAAAGTTGGAAATTGCGCGGCGGAGAAATATTATAAGTATTATCAGCCGTACCTGACAGACGCGAGGAGTTCGCTTCTCCTATTTTTTCCATCGCGACCCTCACTCCGACGCGACTCGCGACACGGTCGAGTTCGAAATTAGGAGGAGCACGATATTTAATTAGCCGTAATATCGCGTCGCTTCAGCGACGAGGCTGTCTCTCAGCGGCCGTGCGCGGCGCAGCGTCATAACACGGAGCGCACACAACACGGAGCTGTAGCACGCGTTCATAACGGAGCCCAGATAGCGGTCGGATATCCTAGATCGATATGAATCGGAGCCCACCCGGGACGTAAGGACGCCATTTAATTTCCGAGGGCGCGCATGCACCGGCGGGAATTAATATAGATGGATATGAGTTATCTGGGAAGCGCGTTGCCGCGCCGGCATGCCGCTGACGTGTATGACTCTCCCGTGATGGGCATCACAAAGTCCTGGCAGGACATTCGACCGTGTAGGGCGATAGATATCAACCCGTTTTAACGTAACTGTCGAGCGAACGCTTTCGGATCCCTGTAACTGACACTGATGGCTTATCTCTCGTCGAATCACAGTGACGCGAGCGAGAGCGAGAGCGAGAGCGAGAGCGAGAGCGAGCGCACGCCGCCCAAGTCCGTCGTCGGGATGAAGTCGACAGGTCCTTGACTAAGGGATCGCGAGACAGCAGCCAATTTGCCCGTGATTATCGATTCCTCTTTTCTCTCTCCGCGCCTCCTCGACCCGCGTCGCGTCGGCCCGCAGATTAGTCTACGTCGGCGCGCGGCTGATAACGGAATTTTGAGTTTTCACCGTGTGCGCTTCTCTTACTTTCTCTCTTTCTCTCCCTCTCAAAGGTGCTCCTATGCAAACACAGCGCATACGGCAGCCTCCAATCGGAGGCCGAACGAGGACTCCGACGAGGCGCGAGTCTGATTGTGTCCTGACGACTGAAACCGCCGAATCGTCACAAGCGAGGAAGCGACATATCCGATTTCAAGATTAGCCTGTTATAATTCCTACTGATCAAGCGTTCAGAATTGAGCAAACCGAGCCGACCGAGATTAACGCGATGTGTGCGAAAAGAATCGCGCGCGATCCGTTCGCGACATCACTCGTTAGAGGATTTCATTTCACGGAGAGCCGCGGGAGAGCGTTCATATTTGCTCTGCCGAGGTTGCCGGTGAAAATAGCGAAGGGCGAAGCCGAAATAGCAATAATCCCGCATGTTGATATCCACGCGCGAGCATCTACCGAGAGTATACCGAGACTTGGGTTTGCTTGCCCCGCGCGCGTCTTCTTTGAGCCTGCCGAAGTATACAGATATCGCAATATCGCCGGGGTCAATCTGCGGATCCCCGGTAAACGGAAAGCAAATCAAATTCTCGGCAAAGCGCGCACGTGCCAATTAGAGTACCGCCGAATGTGAATCCCGCTTTGATCAATGCGCCGAACACCTGAGTAATCTGGCCTGGTAATCGATCGCTCTCTGGGAGATTATTATCGAGAAACCCGGCGCGCGCGCCGGTCCGAAATGGCTGATAAATCTCTTAGACCTTAAGGGCTAACATCTGAGTGAACGCCTGAAAACGCAAGGTAAATTTAGGAATTTTTTGTAGTTAAATAACATCATAATAGATGGCAAATTGGTTTGAAGACCTCTAACGTGCATACCTTGAAGGCTTAAACTATACAAAACAATTTTTTGTTATTATTTTGCCTCAAGATGGCGGCACTGAAGCTCTTCAAGCCAAACCACGTTTTTCGAATTGGCTCGCAGCAGAACTTTAACAAATTCCATCCGATCCGATCGAAATTTTTGCAGTAGCTGCTAAACTAAATTCTCTAGAGAAGTACACACATGATTTTTACGATCGGTTTAAAACCTTTGTCGTTATAAATATTTGTTCACCGAATTTCTTGGATAAAACTGCAACTTTTTTCCTAATGTTCACCATTTCTGCAAAAATCAATATTTCAACATATACGTGTGTACTTCTCTAGCAAATTTAATATAGATACACAAAAATTTCGCCTTTTTATCCTTTTTGAAAGCGCACAACGACATTTCTGCTGCAAGCCCCGCGGGGATTCATGAGAAGAATGCGCTTTTACTTGGAGAGCTTCAGCGCCGCTATCTTAAGGCAAAATAACAGCAAAAAATTGTTTTGTGTAGTTTAAGCCTAAGGTATGCACGTTAGAGGCCTTCAAACCAATTTTCCATCTTTGTTGTTATTTAACCACAAAAAATTCTCAAACTTACTCTGTGCTTGCAGGCGATCACTCGAATGTTACCTCTTGATCGTCACACCGTGTACGCGCGCGGCGATACAGCCCGGAAATTTTGCGAGCCGCGGCGGGCGCGAGCGAGCTAGCGGCCGCCAACTGTCGAAGAAACGGCTCAAACTTTTCGCGATTCGTCAACTATTCATTTCCGCGCGAGTTTAATTCGCTCGGAAAATATTGCCCGACTCTAATTGAATACGCTGGAAGACGTAAGGGCGGAAAGTTCCCCGAGAAATTGTCGCTACCGGCGAGACGCGGGGGTCAATTCTTTCCATATGCCGCGGCTTGCCCTCCTCCAGGGGGTGGCGCGGCGGGGGAAGCGCTCGGCGAGGAGAAATCCCAGTCCCTCTTGCTTAATTTAGTTCTAGATTAGTCGGCGCGAACCGACCAATTTACCTTCGCCGCCGATTTCCAACGCGGAGCTGCGGCCGCCTCTGATTTATCCCGCGGTAAGCCCTAAGCCCGCCGAGTATCGCCGGCCGTGTTATCAAACACGTACGCAATTCCTGTTACTACTCACCACCTGCAACAAAGGAAATGCGAACATGAATAAGTAGTGATACGGCAGAGCGAGAGAAAGAGAGTAGAGAGAGAGAGAGAGAGAGAGAGAGAGAACGCGCGAGATAGATATTCATACATATATCAAATTCGTTGCATATAAAGCCCTGCATATTATATGCTGCACAATCGCGTGCTCGATGGTACGCAACAATGCAACGCTCAGACAGAGCGAGAGAGAGAGAGAGAGAGGGAGGGAGAGGGAGAGAGAGGGGGGAGAGACGGCGTTCACACACTGTCGGGCGGATAATCCGCCTGGAAGGCTATGCGCGCGCTCTGCTAGTCACGATCTCCGTCAATCGATCGTCAAATGGACAAAGCAAGTAGGATTATCGTGTTCGGCTGGCGACGGCAAGGGTCTCCAGGTGCGCCGGAAGGCGGAGAGGATCGAGCCGGACTCCGTGTCGCGCTCGTTCAACGAGCGGCTCACCGAGCTCTCGTCGTCCGTCGCTTTCGTCGCATCGTCATGGTCGAGGCGAGACCACGTAGGGTTAGGCTTTCGCGCTCGATGAATCGCGCGAAACTACGCGCGCACTACGTACTGGCCGGGCGGGACAAGATACGAAACCTCCGCGACTATATAGAGCTGAGAGGCAGGCGAGAGGCGGGTGGGGTGGGAGGGATAGGCTCGTAGGCTGTCTATTCTACAGAGGAACCCTTTCAGGTTTTAGGGTAGCGGAGCGCAAACATTTCTCCTCATTACCGCCGCCTCCAATAACGTCTCGCCAAGTGCTCTTCTCGCTCGATCTCGCGACGAAAAGCCCCGCCTTGTTCCTAAAATTAAACCGCGCCGACGGCGGTTCGCGCGGGCCCTCCTGAGTCACGGCGGACCGGCCGTGTCGGCTATACGCACTCGGTGAACTTTCCCGTTGCTTCAAGCACTCCCTCACGGCCTGCTCCTCTGACAGAGAGAGAGAGAGAGAGAGAGAGAGAGAGAAAAAGGGAGAGACACGGAGATTAACTCGGTCGTTCGCTAACTAACGTCGTTACGCATCCCGCGCGTGCGGCACGGTCTAGCACGCGTGATAAATTAGCGCGCGTGACATCGAGCATTTCCCGATGAAGTGCGTCTCGCTGCGAGACACACGAGCTTGACGCGAGACGGAAAACACTCGGGTCTCGTCGTCGAGTGAGATGAAATGTCCGTCTCTTCGGCGAATTACTCCGCCGTCACCTTCAAGTCCGAAGAAAAAAGCGCACTAGTGCCCCTGTCTCTCTCTCTCTCTCTCTCTCTCTCTCTCTCTCTCTCTCTCTCTCTCTCTCTCTCTCTCTTTCGCGGGCGCTGCTAAAGGGCAGCGCAATAAAACATTCTTTATTTCGGCCCCGAACGTTCTTATCGTTATTACGCCGCTCAACGGCCACAATGTCGTGAGAGTATTGGCCGCTAAAGAGGGGAAAAAGCAGCGGCGCTGTGTGGGCCAACCAAACGCTTGGAACAGGGAGCGAAACGGGAGAGGGAGAGAGAGAGAGAGAGAGAGAGAGAGAAGGACGAGTGCATTGAAGAGTTGAATGTGGAATACAACAGGGGCGCGTGCGTACGAGAGAAAGACGGAGTACCTTTCGCAGTTTATTCTTCGCGGGGCCGAGAAGAACGACAAGGTCACGAGTGGCGCGCGCGCAGTCAATAGGGAGCCCCATCATTATTTCCCGCTGGAGCTTGGAGGACGGCAAAGGCGGGCGCGGGCCATAGAGGCAGCGATGAATAATCGTCGCGAGTGCTCGCGAAAGTAAAACAAGCAGTTAACCGCGCTCGACTTGACGGCTAAGTGGCGTATTTAGCAAACAAACAAAGCAACAGACGGTCAGGTACTGCGCCGTGACTGCGCCGCGCGGACCGACCTCGCCGGCCGAAAGCGCGCGCCCGGGAGGGCCGCCGCCCGCGTGTACTCGGCTGATTAAGGTCGCCCCGTAGGGACCGTAGCGCGCGCGCTGGCTCTGATTTTACAAGTTAAATATTATTCAGAACGCAGCGCAAACGCAAGTGGCTCGGGTCATTTTTGCTCAAACCGCTCGCTGAGGCGGATAACGGGCGTCCGCTGCAAGACGATTGAAATACGAGCGCGAGTCGCTCGCATCCGCGAAAGTGAGCTCGTCGTTTTCGCACAATTAGTACCTCCGGCCTGCCGAATGTCGTTAATTTGAAATGCGTACTCATCTGGACACGAACCCGTCCGACGAGATGCCAAGTGATCCCGTGTCGTCTCGACGGTAATCTACTTGCACCGTCTCTCGGTCTATCTATTTTTCGCAATTAAATTAAACGTAAAACGCAGGGGGAGTCGACGCTCGCGCGGAATGCCGGGGACGCGAAAAAGAGACGCACGCGAGAGGAAGTGAGGGCTGCGGAGAGAGAGACAGAGAGAGAAAGAGAGAGAGAGAGACAGAGAGATGCGGAATGGTTTTATAGTTATAAAATTTTACGGGACACCTACATCGCACCTCCATTAGCGATGCCGTCTCGACTCGCACACACCTCGCCCTTCCGACGCGCACCAACACCGGCGCCGCGCGTTTCCTCCTTCGACTGCTGTAATCGGCAGAGCGGGACGAGGACAAAAGAGGGGACAAAAGGTCGAGGAGGCGAAGAGAAACGGAGAATTTATACAGAAAAGAGCCAGTAGAGAGAAACAAGAGCGTATCGACGTTTCCTCCACCCTTAAATGTAAGGGCGCATCGCGGTGGAGCATTACGCGTCAGAAGAAGCGCGAGTAGAGTGCGGAATAATACTCGCAGAGGGACCTTTCCATGCGGAGGATCCGCGAGTTTCAAGCGCCGCTCTCCACCGCTCGTTCCACCGATGAAGCGAGAGAGAGAGAGAGAGAGAGAGAGAAAGGAGAGGCAAAGGTCGCGCATATACGAGGTCTGAGTGCGGAGAGCGGGGGGGGGGGGGACGGAATAAAGAGCGAGGCAATGGAGATGGAAAGAGGCTGGTAGGATGCTAAGGGACGCGGCGACCCGACCCGACTCCAAACGGCGGTTCCCCTTTGACATCATTTAGATAAAATACGGAGTCTCTTCCCAGCCTCCGATTACCTCCTGTCCCCTCCGCATCGCGCGACCGACCGACCGACCGACCGACCACCCTGGGCTCGTCTGGCACTCCCCCCCCCCTCCCTCCTCCGTGTAAAACGCCGCGTATAAGTCGCGTCGCTGAATATCTCTCCACCTAGAGCCTCTCAGCCCGAATGCATCCGTGGGCTTTTCCAGCGGTTAAGTATCTCACGCGCGGGACCGTCCCGGGTAAATCCGATCGCGTCGGCTGGATAAGTGCATCGAGTAGTCACCGAGGTAACGATCGGTGGAGAGAAATTCCTCCGAGCCGACACAAGAGCGCGTGCATAAGAGCGCCTTGCTCGACGGAGGAAGACGCGGAGGACGTCGAACGTGATGATTTGACACTCGCGAGGACGCAATTTCAATCTCCGAGGGCGCGCGACCGCGCCAGTATTCTTCTTCGGCTCGAGCGCGAGCGATCGTAAAATTAATTCCTGCTGACAGCGGCGGAAACCGTCGCCGCCACAGACAGCATGGCGGCTGCCACGCATTTACGGAGCGCCATCGAGAGGCAAAGAGGTGACTCGGGACTGCTCGCTGAAAGCGTAGCGAGATTGTAACGGCAGCGGCGCGCAGCAGTGCAAGAAGGAGGAGGATGTGATGTCAGGGATTCGAGAGAAGTAAAGTTAGCGACACGTCCAAACTTATCTCCCCCTCTGTTTAATTTAACGTAGCTTCGAGTTAGCCGTTAACGCGCCGGCGACGAAACTCGGCCGACAAGCTTTCGTAATTCCGCGATCCTGAAGCTCCCGCCACCACCTTGCGCCATTCTGCTGTGTTCTTCTTCTCCTCCTTCTTCTTCTTCTTCTTCCTCTTCTTCTTCGCTACCCTCGTCGGCTGCGATGGCGATGGCGGCGGCGGCGGCGGAGTCGCTGGCCTTGCCAACGATACGACCGTGCCCCCGAGTGGAATCGCGTCCCGGTAATGCGATACATCGCAGCAATATCCTCCTGAGTACTGCAACGAACCGTTTCGCGCCATTTAGCACCTAATTTGTAGCCCGGCGAGAAGTTCACGCCGCCGCCGCCCGCCGCGCGACCCCACTCGGAACTTTGGATAAAGGAGGATCGCGTTCCAGGCACGAAATACGACGGGAGCAAATGGACGTCGGGATCGCCGGAGTGCCGTTGCCGCGGTGAATGAAATGTTAACGAGTTGTAATGAGTCGAGGAAAATCTATCATAGGGCAGGCGAGTAACACGGTAGCAGCCGAGAGAGAGAGAGAGAGAGAGAGAGAGAGAGAGAGAAAGAGAGAAAAAGAGAGAGACGAGATTCGCGATATTAAAGCCAGCCGGAGAGAGTTAACGATCGCGCGCTAATAACGGCAGAATAGATTCTCAAAGAGCCGATTAAAAGTCCGAAACCCGGGCTCCAGCACCTGAGCGGAGTAATGAGGCGCGTAACTCGTAATAGAGAGGATACTTCCGCGTGCGCGCGCGTCGCGGTTTCGCTGCGATCTAAACGGTAAACATTTTTTTCTCGCGTATAAGCCGGGACAGAGTATGAACACGGGAAAATGCAAACGACCGGAGCCTATCCGCCGTTCTATTGGTTTCATCGCGGTGTACGGAAACGTGCCTACTCGACGCGCTACAACTGTTTCCACTTCAACGACGTTGAAGTATCGCGCCTATAGATCGTTTCATCGGCGATTTTACAAACGTGTAAGCCGAAATCGTTCGATTAAAAAAAAAAAAAAAAAAAAAAGAAAAAAGAAAAAAGAACGGGAGGGGGGAAAAGAGTAGAAAAAAAATGCGCCGGTGCCTATCGGTCCGCGATATTGTACAATGCCGTCCGAGAGTGGGCTCGATAAATGTGTTCCCCCTTTTATTTTCCGCCCGAACGAATGTCGAACGACTAGATTTGGAACGTACGAACGGTGACTTTTGTTCCGATGTCGCGGAACGTTACGCGAGCTGTTTCGCGGAGGGTGCTTCATCGACATTATTGATTCGTTCACCGTGAATTTCCTTCAAATCGTCCTTTGTGTCTTTGCGTTCGTTACGAATCAAAAGAGGAATATTTCCCGTTGCTCAGAGGGAGGATGAGAGAGAGAGAGAGAGAGAGAGAGAGAGAGAGAGAGAGAGAGAGAGAGAGAGAGAGAGAGAGAGAGAGAGAGAGAGGAATATAAGCACCGTGAGAATATTTACCATAACAGCCGAACGCGAAGATTTACCTCGACTATGCAAATATTGATTTACGTGGCACGCTGAATAGAACGGTAATCTTAAATCGCATCAGAGACTCTACTACGAGTAGGGTTAAGAAATGACGAAGAAACGTTACTAACAGTTATATATAGAAATCGTGATTCCTCTCGCCAGACGTCTATCCAGCGAGGATACCACCTCTTTTCGTAGAAGCTGATGCCAAGGGTGAGCGAATCGGGCCGTGCAAAGAGAGAGAGGGGGGGGGGAGAGAGAGAGAGAGAGAGAGCACGCAAGGGGAACAGAAGTACGGTCTTAAGAAAACTCGCAATATTTACCCAACAGAAATCAGGCACGACGTAAAAATACAAATCGTCCTAATCATTATTTACTTTACTTTACCGAGCGTCGCGCCCCTACCGTCTGAAAAGGCTCGCCCCTCCGCCCTCCTCCACCTCGCCCTCGTGCTCGCGAGGCGCACCGGCGGGAAAGAACTTTTCGGCTCCGGTGCACTCCAAACGTCGATCCGCCGGAAAACCGACGAGAGTCGAAGGACGGGCCGAAGGGACTGATTAAAGGCCTGTATCGATCGCGGCCAGGTAGACGAGCGTTAATTTCATTAGTGCGCGCGCCCGGCTCCTCCTCGGTCTCCGCGAAGAAATCTTAATCAATTAGCGCTCCAGCGCTGAGAGAGGGTGATCCGTTTGAGACGAAAATACCGACGACACGGACGGGCGCGCTTCACTGGATCGAAACTCCGAGGCTATATTTTGCGCCGCACATATGAATTAAATCCCGCCAACGAGCTCACTCCAGGAGAAACACAAACGGGCAGATCTTGCAAGATTCCAAGTGTTGCATTTATTCGGTTGTGAAAGAGAGAGAGAGAGAGAGAGAGAGAGAGAGAGAGAGAGAGAGAGAGAGAGAGGGAGAGAGAGAGAGAGAGAGAGAGAGAGAGAGAGAGAGAGAGAGAGAGAGAGAGAGAATGTGTATGTATGTATGTGTGTGTGTGTATGTGTGTGTGTGTGAGGGAGAGAAACAGAGATCTCAGTCGGATTGTACTCGACGTATCTGGCAGTTTCCCGTCGACCAGAGGTCTCGAGAGCTCTCCACTTAATCTAAGAAGATCGCAGAGAAGGAAATCCCGTCGGTAATCGGGCCTGAGTATGAAGACCGGCAAGTTCGGCAAGTAGGGAGGAACAACGGGGGCGCGCGCGCGCGCGCGGCGTGGAGCCGCAGGAACGGAAGGAGAAACAAAAGCGACGGGGTCTGAACGCGCAGGGGTGCCCTGTTCCGGAGAAAGAATGAAAAATAAGCCGCGAGGGATCGGGGACAAAACGGCTCATTGGCCACGCGCTCGCCTAACTACGTTACTCGTGGCAAGACCATTTCTCGTCGCTTCGGGTCAACCCGGCCACTCTCCTGCCCCGAGCAGCAACCGGCAGCGGCGGGATTGCCAGCAGCAATCACGGGGAGAGAAGAAAGGGGACGACGGGGAGAAGGGGAGGGAACGGACGGAAAAAAGGAAAGAGAAATATCCAAACGTTCCTTAGCCGCGAGCCCGGGAAATTGAATAGTACCTGCGAAATTGAAAGAGGAAATTCGACGCGTTTCGAGCCCCCGCCGCTGTTCCGCGGCGCCGAATCTTAGCGCCACCCCCTCGACGCTCAGCAGCCCGCAGCAACGTCCGGCTTCTCGTCTCGGCCGCGCGCCTTTGTTCGACTCGACACCGATGCTCGTTTGAAAAAATCGACCGCGATCCGGTGAGCGATGGCGGCCACTCGGAGCGAAGCATCGGGCATCGGCGCGCGCTGCTATTGACTTACCTCTCTTGTGCTGCGCAAGAAGCCGTGCGATAAATCACGAGGGAGCGATCGAGAAACGCATGAAAGTCTGTAACACGTCGCGATTACGCCACATATATCTCGGCTCCCAGTCTCTATCTGCAGACGGAAAGGCGCGGTCTCGCGAGATCCTCGCCGTAAATTCGCCGTGTATCGCGGCGATTACGCGCGTCTGTAAATCGTGACGAGTTCGTCGGATCGCGAAGCCGCTTACGCGTAATATCCCGATAGAAAGAGCTCGCGATCGCCAGACCGAGAGAGAAAGCCCGTACACGTACCCCTTCGTCCTCACCCTCGATCCGCCGCGTATATATGTGCATGTATCGCCGCGGCAATGGGTCGAGATAATCTAACGAGAAGCGGCCGCGATCTTTCTTTATCGGACATTAAGCAGGAATTCGCCGGACGGAGGGAGGGGGCGGGGGGATATTACACAGCAAGGCTCGCCGACGACGCTGGTCGGAGGCCGCGCGAGCCCGGGCCAATAAAGAGGACGACGATCGTTCCGAGCGACGGATGACGATAAAAAGGATGTATCGTCCGCGTAATCGTAACAAACGAGGGCAATTAAACGCGGACCTGCTGATGCAGCGATCGTACACGGCCAGACGGCGCGCGGGCGGGCGGGGGTCGCTGACCGCCGTAGGAGCGAGGAGCCTGCGGCTTCCATCCGAGATAAGATCGTTCCGTAGTTCTGATTACGCAGCTCCGAAGTCTCCGCCGAGGAGCCGCTCGCTCTTGACCTAATCTCAATTAGCTGCAGCCCGCGAGAATTATCCCTCTCCACGGCGCGCTGCCGCACTTCCAGGTGAAAACGCGGACACACACCGGCGCCATTTTGAACGGCGTAATTGATACGATCGCCTCGAAATTGACTCCGCGGCGCATCACGCTCGCATCGATCGATGCCGACGATCCAATTGCGAGAAAAATGATTAATCTCGCGAGCCGCGGCTTTAAATGACCGAGATACGCGGAGATTGATTCATTCCCGCAATGATGCGATGAAATCGGGACGAAATTGCGCCCGCCCGGGCCGAACGGTGAAAAGGTGAGCGGAAAATCACCGGATTGTTCTCCGCATATTTCAAGCACGGCGCGCACGCGCGCGCGCGCGCGCGCGCGTGTATATACAGAGAAGATTAATGCCGCATCGCGCGCGGCGCGCACTCCGCCCGCGCGTGAGTAGCATGATAATTGTTTCGATCGCAAACACGGAGGAGAAAATAAACAATGGAGAAATAAACGAATAAATCGCCGACGCATGGCATCATAAAAATTGACGTCAACGCGCGCGCGCGCGCGGAAACACTCGCATGTCCGAGGTGCTCGGCATCGTATTTTACCGGAATGGGAGTATAATTAGTTGGAATAACGGAAGATGTAGCGGCGCCATTACGCAAACGGCGCAATAAATGTAAATCAGGCGGCCACGGAAGCGGCAGTAACTCGCGCCTAAAAACATCGGCGCGTCATCCGGCTACATTATCATCCGCGCGATGGCCGTTGAGGAAGAGGGAGAGAGAGAGAGAGAGAGAGAGAGAGAGAGAGAGAGAGAGAGAAAGCACGGGTGAGAAAAGGGGATGCTCTCGAAGGAAGTACGAGTTCATTTAAAGGAGTTACGTAACGACTGCGGTTCGAATGGAGAGAGAGAGAGAGAGAGAGAGAGAGAGAGAGAGAGAGAGGAGCGTTCCTTTAAAATCTGTTTTCCCGGCGGAATCGAGCGAAAAATTTACGAGGCTCTCGGCCCCGAGAGCACAAAGTTACTTCGTTATAGCTTTATGCACCCGCGCGGCCATAAATGATATAGCTTTGGAGGATTTTCGATTGCGATATTTCCGCCGTACGAAATGCTAATGGAATTGCGAAACTTGTTATGCGGAACCTTTCGGCCGGGAATGATAATTAGCGCGAATCGAGGTGAGCAAATTCGAAAGCATGTTCACAAAGGACCGCTAATAGTCGAAGCTTGTAACGGAAGCGTGCACGGGTATGCTTGTAAGCGGTTACCACCGTAGGAAACGGATGGCACTCAGCAGGCGGCAACTCTCGTCCGACGACTAAAAGAGGAGCGTGTGCCACTGTCGCAATCATAACTATCAAAAGCAGAACTTGCCATGCCCGCCTCCTGCCACGCGGGGTGTCTTGAGACCTATTTCCGTTATCCCGCGCTCATCTC